CCTCTCCCCTTGCCTGCCTTATGACTGGATTACAGAGAACTGATGAATTCACAAATGGAAAATAAAGGAAGCAGGGATGTGCAGGACACAACAATCAAATGATTACATTGACTGACAAAGCTGTTGATGTGGACAGCAAAGAGTCCTAAAAAAAGGTATAAAACCTAAAAAGTGACTGGCCCTTTTCCCATTAGTACCTACTCTGATCAGGGTGACTCGTTTTCTATTACAGTGCCACCTAATATGTGTGGGGTTGTTTGCTTTTTCAGATCGCTTGGACCCTGGCGAAGTACGTATTGAAAAAGTACCTGCTATCAGGTACTATGACCCAATGGAAAACCCTGAAAACCAGCTGACCGGAATAAGTTCTAATGGACCTGATGTTACTTAAACGTTCTTTCAATCTGGTCTGACTGATTCTGAGTTGGGAACAAATAAGCATGTTTATGGGTGAGAAGGATGAGGCAGAGGATTCCAGTGGTGGGGGAGACATGATGAAAATAAATATACTAATCTTAAATGGTCATATGCAGCTTGAAAGAATGTTTGAAACTAGACACTTTGCAGCTGTTTTTTGAAAGAAAAAAAACCAAAACATCTTTCCCTTTTCTGTCTTGGTTCTCATAAGCCTGCAGCACTGAACAGAGGTGGATTACATGACTACAAGAACGTGTACAAATGTGGGAACCCGTATACCGTCAGCTCTCGGCCTTACAAGATGCACAGGGCAGGTAAAATCAGTCGTGGTAAGCTCACCTGATCTTGTTGCCGGTCTTCATTCTGATCCACTGAGGAATCGGCCTGTTCTGTTTCTGCTTCTTGGCGAGGAAGCGCTTGATTCTGAAAGTCTTGTGGGACGACTGGAAGACGTAAAAGACACCGTATTAGCACAATCGTTTAAAACACCAAGTATATACATCTTTAACCAAATGCTTCTGGTTTAAAACTAATTTTTTTTAAAGCTTTCAGTGCTAAAATAAACCAGCTGGCCGCTAGCATGCGCAGAACCACCGTACCGGCTAGCATCACTGAGCACTTTTAATATGCTCCATCTCATTTTTTTCGTATAACATACACATTGTTATCGTGACAATAATTTTAGTTTTAAATGCTTAAGGTTTCGGGGAACTTTAATAAGCCATGCTAGCTCGGATGTTTGTAGATTTTCTATTTACCATTTTGTCCACAGTCCTTTCCCCACTATGGCGGTGGTCGAAAAGAACGAGAGAAGTGACGCCACGGCTTTTTGACCAATAAGCGTCCAAAAAACTGTTCCACGTCCTACAAACAGCGACACCAACGTGTCATTAGAGGAAGTACATGTCATAGTTTTAACGGTTTGCCTTTCATTCAAGAGATAGTTCACACAGAGCCGGAGCCTTGAACTAAAAAACAGGATAACTGACTTCAGTTTTTTTTTTAGTTTTACCCGGTAGTCACTTCACACCAATATGGTCACAATAACTGAAAAATTTCTAGATTTTTCAGAGCATCTAAAGCATCGAAAGTCTTTGAGCACCATAGCTGAATTGATCAAGAAACACAAAATCACAGGAGTTAATGTATTTCTGATATACTTTCCAGTTTTTAACTTTTTTTCCTATAAAATCTCAATATATGATTTTAAAGCAGAGTACCTGCTTTAAAATTCTAAAGTCTAGGTTTTAGTCATTACTTCTTCTTCTTCTTCTTTCATATGGTCTCTGTAGGGGTTGCCATAGTAGCTCATCTGCTTCCGTCTCATCTTATTCCTAGCATACTCCTCAGCAGGCCAGGCCTCCTCAGAAACTGAACTTCTAACAGGAGTACACTGGAATCCATCCTGATAAATGGTGAACCAGCGTGGTATGTCATCTGCACTCCTGAAAGATCTTCACCAAGTGGTGAGAATGGCAAAGCACATTGTTGAGATGAAGCTCCCACATCTGGACTCAATCTGTGCCATCATCATGGAGAGAAAAGGCAAGCAGACAGTATAACTAAGGACAGTACACACCCCATTCTGTGGTTGAATCTCTGCCACCTGGCCAGCTCTTCAGAAAGATCATTCACTCACTACATCCACAAATCTTGTCTGTGGTCTCCCATGTTTCCTTCTGCCTGGCACCTCCACATTCAAGATTCCATGTCCAGTATATCCACTATCCCTCCTCTGCACATGTCCAAACAATCTCAGACTTGCCTCACTAACTTTGTCTCCAAATAGCCTGACCCGAGCTGTCCCTCTGATGTACTCATTTCTAATCTTGTCCATCCTTGTCACTCCCAGTGAAAATCTTCAACTCGGTCACCTCCAGCTTTGCAGGTTTCACTTCCACCTTGTAAACCTTCCCTTTCACTCTTGCTGTGATCCTGCTAACAGAAATGAACCCTGACACCTGTCTCCATCCATTCCACCCTGGCTCCACCCTCTTCCACACCTCTGTTGTGCACTGGATGGTTGATCCATTCTTCACTTATTCTAATTTGCCAGATTCACTGTTGTTTTAATGGCATTTTTTTTCTTCAGTTTTTCTTCCTGGCTTCTGCTTGGATAGACATGCTACATGCTTCCAACCTGCACTGTGTTTAACCTCTTAAAAAATTTTCAAAGATAAAAGTTGTATTTTCTTTTGTAATATGAGCCGCAATGCTGCCAGCAGACACGTCCCTGTTTGTGTTTGGTCATATTCCACCATCACCGCCTCTTTCATGTGAAAGCGTCATTGTGAGATTGGGAGTTGATGACTGCCTTTGTGTCATCGCTTAGCCTGATTGCTGTTGTTAGCCTCAGTGAAGCCATAGTGCTGGCCTCAGGTGTCTATACTCAGTAAACCACAGACAACATAATACAGACGCCTGTCACTCACCAAATCCTAAGATGAATTTTAGAGAAGAAACAGAAAAAAACAGAAGTAGGAGCATAACTACAAGTGGAGAAAAGGAGTTTTATTTATATTTTGATTTATTTTGCTATGGTAATTTGAGCTTTTAATGATTTCTTGATCTCTTTCCAAGGTAAAAAGATCTTTAATGATCTTAAAAAACAAGAACTGGGTGCACAGGTTTGAATTTATTTTGGATTTTCATTAATCCTGAAGTATGCAATATTAAGTTAAATGTCCCTTAGCAAGTTGCATCTCGAGCAAATGCTTCTGGCATTATTCTGGCTGGATATTTGATTACTCTTCTTAGGAGAATTGATAGAGTTCACTTAAATTGTTTGGTTTCCTGGCTTTTAAGCATAGTCCACAAATTTTCAATAGAGCTGAGGCCCAGAAGCTTAATGTTATCCTGATTTTTCCATTCCAAAACGAATATTGATGTGTGTTTAGAATCATTGTCCTCTTGGAGCACCCTGCTGTATTCAAGTTTCAACCATGTAGCTGTTGATTTGAGGCGAAGTTGAAAAATAAGTAGTCCTCTCCTCCATTATTCCATCCACTTTGTGCAATGTACCAGTATCAGTGGAAGCAAAACAGCCCCAGAGCATGATGCTACCACCAACACGATTCACATTTGGTACAGCTGCTGTTAAGCAGGTTTGAAAACATCACCTTTACTCCTCTGAACGTATTTCTTGTCACTGTGGCCAAATAGTCCAATCTTGGTCTCGTCTGACCATGAAAAAAACTTTTCTCCAGAAGGCATTTGGCTTTTCCACGTGGGCAGCTCCAAATTTTAGGTCAAACTTGAACGTGTCGATTTTTGGAGCAGGATGTAGATGTAAAACTTGACTGTAGTTGTTTAGAAATTATTACAAGACATATTCCCAATTTGTGCAAACCTACATTTCTCCTTTTTAGATATTCACTGAGTTCTTTGAACTTTTTAATTGTCCTGAGTATTGGTCCACCCAGTGAGTGCTGTCAAATAAATCTCCAAAAGTCCAGATGAACAGAATCAACTTTTGGAGATTTACTTACCTGGATGATTGAGCATGCATCAAGATGTCAAATAAATCCGCTTTATGCTGGCAAACAGAAACTACCAGTTATTACTAGTATTATTAAAAGATTTGAGTGTATCTACATCATTGATCCTGTGTATACCATATAGTTGTTACTGTGTGTGGATTAGAGAAAATCCCAATTCCTGTTTTTTTTAAGTTATTAAAGTCGTATGCTGTACAATCATTCCACCCTGGAAAAAGAAACAGCTCAAGAAATAACAAAAAGCCCCAAATTACCTTGACATTCATGACCACAATGAGCGAAGCAAACTTCTGACTTCTCCTTCACTGTGATATAAATCCTCTAAGTTTTCTCTGCCCTCCCTGTTGTCTCTACATCCAACTGCCGCTTTGCCTCATTTACTGGTGAAAAATTCTCAGTTCCAACTGAGCTGCCCCATTGAATGAGCATTTGTTCAATGGCACAATGACAACACCACCTGTTCGAAAGAGCACCAAAGCAGTCTTGACAGTCATGTCTCTAACATAACCGCTGATGCCGTGACATTTTTTCCACAGGTTGGGAGCACCTTGGCTCTTTGTTGTTCTTTTTTGACTTTTCAAATCCTCCTTATCCCATTTAAAGGTTGTAATTTTGCCTTCACCTGCGTCCACCTGGTAATAATCATGAAGAAAAATAAGATAAACAAAGAAAACGAGATAAATGCAGTGTAACACTACAGAATGGATCGTTGTTATCTATCCATTTGAATTGCACTAGTCTGGTTTTATTTCAGAGTCCCTGGGCTCCTGCAGGCTCATTTATAGGCGCACTACTTTCTCCTTTTTCTGCCCCTTTTCACACACCTCGTATGAAGCTCCGATACCAGACAGGTGAGCTGAAATAATATGAATCCAGCTCAACACATTATGCTGCTGTAAGTGTAACAATAGCTTCCGAACACCG